TCGCTAGTAGGTTGGAGGCCATCGCTAGTAGGTTTGAGGCCATTGCTAGTAGGTTGGAGGCCATCGCTAATACGTTGGAGGCCATCCCTATTGAGTTGGAGGCCATCGCTACTAGGTTGGAGGCCCTCGCTACTAGGTTGGAGGCCATCGCTAGTAGGTTTGAGGCCATTGCTAGCAGGTTGGAGGCCATCGCTAATAGGTTGGAGGCCATCCCTATTGAGTTGGAGGCCATCGCTAGTAGGTTGGAGGCCATCGCTATTAGGCTGTAGGCCATCGCTATTAGGTTGGAGGCCATCGCTACTTGGAGGCCATTGCTTCTAGGTTGGAGGCCATCGCTTCTAGGTTGGAGGCCATCGCTAGCAGGTGTCCTTTCTTTATTTGCTTCTGTCTTCTCTTGGATCTTTGCTCTCTTTGCTCTCCAAGCTCTCCCTCTGAAATACCCTTCAGGCAGGGAGCTCGTGGATCAGCATGGCTGGTCTTGTACAAAGTGCTGGTGAAGGGCACAGCTCAAGACTAAAGTTGACTAAAGAATACTAAAGAGCTTTTAACAGACTAGAGCGATGAATATGACGAGATGAGCTGATCGTGGATTGGAAAGGATGCTTTAGGAAGTCCAAGGGTGTCAAAGGATCATCGTTCTTCGTTTTATGGAGTCATTCTCTTAGTGTGAGAGTTGAACTGGTTGTAAAGTCTTGGGCTGTTTCCAGCTCTAGCAGTCTGCGCTTCAAGCCCTTTGCTTGGAATGCTGGCACTAATGTCAGATCCGTGATGGTTCGGGCTCCTGTGCGCATTGCAAGAGACGTACCAGGTGGAAGCAAATAAGAATTCTCTCACAATCCTGATTGGAAGTTGTTTGAATGTGACCTTAATTGGAATTGAGGCTTTGCGATGTGACTTTGCAGCGAATCTTGCCATTTGCAAAATGCATCGACGGAAGCCAAGTCAGGAGCGACACTGTGATCACGATCCCAAAGTGGAGCTTCCTGCGATGCAATAGCTCTTGGCACTCTAGTTACCTGGCTCGTGCGCCGCTTTTGGTCGTATTGTTTGGAGTATAATGTTACAAGATCTTATTCCGGGGCACACAGCAACCAACGACTTTGTCAGAAGAAGGAAGACTTAATGAGTGTCACTTCCACCCCAGCCCCAAACCCGGCTAACACTCCCAAAATAATGATGGGTAAATCGACCGAAAGATGTTGCACACAACACGGCCAGAACGGAAGGTTGCAGTGATGCAGAGACTGCAAAACAGAGCAATAAACTGATATTGAATGATATGAAGCGTGGTATCCTCGTATTGTCTCCAACATATGTCACATGGATTTTGGAGGTTTGCAGGACGTCCTTATGTTGCTTTGCCTTTGCACACCACAACACCTTTGCATATCAGCAGGAACACTCTTCTGAGATGCTGATGCTGTTGATTGCCGCAAGCTGTTTTTCAGCTGTGAGATCTATCTCTCCGACAAGGCCATTCCGCATCGAATTCGGACGAAACAGGAGCTACTAGTGGCGTCCTTGCTACTAGTAGCGATGCCCTTGTTACTAGTCTGTAGCGATGCCCTTTGTTCCTCGAAAGAGAAAAAAACACAAACTTAATTTACCAGGCTACCGCCTGCAGCCGCCGACCCCAAGGGAAAATGTAGTGGCAGGGTTGGGTCCCGGGATGGTCGCGGGCGGGGTCCTGCCAAAATCTAGACAAAGCCAAGAGCATTCCTACGAAAATGCTGGAAAAGCCGTATAGGCATGAGTACAGCAATGGAAAAAATAGGTTAGCAAAAGGTTACCAATTTTTTGGGGAAATCTGGGAACCTAAAAACAAGAGGAAGCGCTAGAAAATTCTTGGAACAGCATCCAGCCGAAAACGTAACAAAATCTAGACAAAGCCTAGAGCATTCCTAGGAAAATGCTGGAGAAGCCTTTGAAAACCCCATAAATCCAACAGAAAACGTGACAAAATCTACGAAAAAGCAAGGGCATTGGCCGGGACCACGCCGCGACCAGCCCGGGATTCGAGCCCGGGACATGGCAGAATCTTGGACAACCCAGGTCGCCATCAGGTCGCAATCAGGTCGCAATCAGGTCGCAATCACGTCAAATCCCGTAGCTATCACGTCGCTTTTAGGTCGGGATTTCGTCACTGCAACAAGGGTCCGGAGGGGTAGGGGAGGTAAGGTCTAGGTCTAAGGCTAAGGACTAGGTCTAAGGCTAAGGATAAGGCTAAGGCTCAAGTCTAAGGCTAAGGCTAAGGCTTAAGGCTAAGGCTAAGGCTTAAGGCTAAGGCTAACATCGACAGTCACGCCTCACCCCACGGTGTGGGGTCGGCGGACTTAAATTAGTTTAATTCTAACTACTTTTAATTATTGTTTCTACTAGCTTCTTGTTCCCAGTAGTGAGGCACTTGTTACTAGTAGCGATGCCCTTTGTTCCTAGAAGGCATTTTTCCCATTTCTCAAACGCCGAGTTTGTTGGACATGCGTCTCGAAGGCCCAAAGTGCATGGCGCCACACCTTGATGTGTGAGACTGAGTGGACACAAGGATTCGACATCAAACCAAACATAAAAAGAGCTGTAAGACGGGACATGAACGGTTGAGGTGACTTGTTAGGTGGTTTCTTTGCAGTTTTTGCTCGTATTTTCTTTGAGGTTGCTGGCATGTTGAAAAAGAAGGGCTATGAAGAGCTCAGCAAGATAGGCAAGCGGCAAGCGAGGATGAATACAATCGAAGATGCTACAGATGCAAACGATGCCCGTTGGAACTTCAGGAGAAGGAGCGTTTGGCAAAGCAGTGCTGGTGTGGAACCTCGGGAGCGCTGCGCGGTGACGTTTGCAAACGCTTGCTGACGGCTTTGCAAGGTCAGAAGCAAGGAGGGAGGGCAGATGGTGTGCTGTCCTCAAGATTGTACTAGACGCTTCAGGCTAAGAAGCGATGTTTGCCACAGGTGCAAGATGGTGGACATTAGCAAAGCAAGTGCTAAGGACTGGCAATTTGCCATTAGAAGGGCTTAAGCATATCTGGCTTTTGTCTAAATTTGGTGAATGCCACTTGCCTTGCTTGCCCTACTTAAATTGTTTGGCCGACTTGTGATGGGTTTGAATTTAGGTTCCAGTCACATAAGACGAGGTTTAAGAATTGTTTAACACTTGTTCAACAATTGTTCAACAACACAGACGGCAAACTGTTTTGTCTTTTACCAAATTGAGGGTGTATTCAGAATCGGATACTGCTGGAGGAACAGCGCGAGGCTTTGGCAGAAGGACAACTGTTGGGCTCTTTGAAACACCCGCCAGCTCCCTACGGATGTTCTCAGTCTCATCATTTGAAGTTATTGTTGCTTTTGCGTATCTCGTTCAACATGCTCCTTGTTGCTCAGAGTGCAGCAAGAAGTCTCGTTGAGAGACATGTCCATGCTCTCAAACTCATATCCAAACGGATTTGTAAACGATCGCGTGCCGAACAGTTTTGCTTGCAGTAGTGTTTTATGCTCTATGCATTCAAAACATTATCCTTTAATTCAGACGATTCCAGGCATCTCATGGCATCTCCCATTCACGGAGGTACATTGTTCGCTACAGAGACAGCTTCACAGAGTCTGGTTGGCAAGGGACCCAGACAGCTGAGATGCAGAGCCTTGGGGAAAGGCATACAGCGGTCCTGAAGTAGCTCCCCGAAAGAAATCCTTTGAAAAAGGAATCCGGGGAACATGAGCTCATCTCGTTTTCCGAAGTTTTGAAAGGTTCTGCCTCCTCATGGACTACTGCGAAGGCACACAAACGACCCGTTGGATTGCTGCTTGACGCTTTTTAAAAACAGATCGATGCTAGGTGGGGACCTTTCAAAGCAGATCGATGATGCGAGGAGGACCAAATGGTGACACCAGTAGGTTGGAGGCCATCGCTATTAGGTTGGAGGCCATCCCTGGTAGGAGGACCAAATGGTGAGACCTCAGGGACTGGAAAAGTATTTTCTGCACAGAGCCTGACAGACCCCGGCTTTCGAGCTGTGGGCAGCTGTGCGAGGAAGCGTCAGAACATCCCCGAATCGCAGGCAACCCTGTTGCAAAAGACCATGAGAGGTCTCTTCGGTTTCAAAGAGTGTTGCATCCCACTGAGATCCTTTGCTGGTTCACGCAAGCAATGCTCGCCTTGAAGTACATCCATGAGAGGCCAAGAACGAGTATTGACAGAAGACCATGAGACCAGTAGAAATGATTTAGAGGAATGAGTAATGCCAGCCAGTCAGGCATGTCTTGCACCGGGATTTGAAACCGGGGAATTTCTTCATCAACAATGGCTGAGATCTTAGATATTCTGAGACCCCTCTACAGTGTGCTTGAATAGCGCACAGCTTTCGAAGGTGCCTTGAAGATGGGCGATTTTGGAATTGCCAAAGTGTTGTCATGCACTTTGGCTTGTGTCTGGGCCATGGATACATTTCCAGCTCTAAACACCGTAGCGGTTTGATCCGTGTGAGGCTCGCACACAGATTGGCACACCTTACTATCTAAGTCCAGAGGCTCGGCATGGCTTGGCTGTTTGCTCCTAGTAGCGATGCCCTTTGTTCCTAGTAGCTTCTTGTTCCTAGTAAGGCCAGGAGCCCCTAGTAGCGTCTTTCCTCCTAGTAGCAATGCCAGGAGCCCCTAGTAGCTTCTTGTTCCGGTGCTCTTAGTTCGTCAAAACAAGAGCTCTCAGGTTTGTGATGAAGAGCCATACGTGAGGACCCGAGGAACCTTGGAATGAGGTACTCAGTTTCAGACTTTCTTGAGCCTATCA